TATTATTTTTTGTAAGTGTCAATTATATCTGGCAGGTGGGCTTGATTACCTTTTCAACTTAACATATGCAGATAGTCACCACTTACTTACCAAAAGTAATCATCATCTCAATACCTGAGGTCATTCCAGTAAATTCGTAACCTAAAATTCTAATACCATTAAATGTTATGGAGTCACTTATTTTCTTTTAATCCCTTATCCATTTCATTCCAATTCTCAAAATCACAAATAATTTCAGTATCTTTACACCTACTTCCAACTATCACAACTTGAGCTTTGATACTACTAAAAAGTCACAGCAATCTCTTATTTCTTTTGATTTATTTTTCCATCTCCTTTCAATTTGCAACAGACAATACTTCAAATACACATACTATTTCCTACACGTCCGAAATCTTAAATTTAGAGTGTATTACCAAAATTACATCCAATAAAAGGACATCATAAACACCAATCGTACCATTTCAACTATTCGCACATGCAAATTTTCAAGCCTATTTATTTAGTCACAATGGATCATTTCCTAGGGTATACTTTATCTTTCTCCCTTTAAAAAAAAAAAAAAACAAATTTCCTTTGGGTTGGACCCATCGGCCAACCATCCTTGACTTGGTTGACCGATGGCCAATTCTTTCATTGGGGTCATTTGTGACCCCAAGACTTTCTACCGTTGCTAGCCTATTGTCAGCAACACATGCTGGCATTTTTTTGTTTTTTTTTTTTTTTCTGTTTTTCCTCCAACAGATTTGGGCAACCTTATTTAACTAAAGATTAAAATCGAACACTCTATTTCTACGAATCCACATATGAATCTTCCTAAAAACATATATATCTACATATATATAGCAACCATACATATCCGTAAAATTTTTAAGCCAATTAATGCAACTACTAAAAATTAAAAGAGAAGTTTTTGCGTGAACTCGGGACTTAAAAGAGAAGTTTCTGATCGATTGACGGTGTTACCTGCTTCTCCTTTTCTACTCTCTGACGGCTCTTGCTCTAGGAGAGGCAGGCAAAAGAAAGGTAGGGTTTGTGTGTTATTTTTCTTCCTATGCTTTCGACAAAATCCTAAACCCTGGCACTAACCACTAGTAGGTGGTTTAGAAAAGAGTTTAAGTTTATTATGAACTCTTATCCCATCCTATAGTTATTTTTTTTATTTTTCTTTTACCCTTGTAATTTTAGATTCTTAATTAATTGGAAAATAAAGACAAAATAATATAAACAGGTGCCAAAAAAAGTGGGTTTTACAAGCAATGAATACACACATTCTCTCTCTATAAAGTGGACTTACCATATGTTATATTCCATCATAATTAAAAGCTTTGTCAACTTATGAAAAATTTGGTCGATGAGCAAAACCTTAGTTCGTTTACTAGGAGAAAAACTCCATAACAGAGTTGCAATTGAATGCCAAGGAAACAAAGTGCTTGAAATCCCGTTATTGTGCCAGATGCAAGAGGCCTTCCTTTGGTTCTCTCAACCTGAAGTACACAAGATTTCTTTGTTATGCAATGGATTGCAACGAACGGTAACTCATTATTTGGACGCTAAAAATTATATTGAAGAAACGAGCACAGCATAAGAGGGAAAATATCAAATGTATAATTTGATATTTCATCAAAATTCTACTCCAGTTCTAAGTTCTAACTGGCTTTTGGAATTTGTGAAATTCGATAATTCGGTAGATATGGTTTTGCCCTGGTACCGGTTATTTGGGTGCTCACAAAATTCATGGCCTTGTGTTGGCTAGATGCATACTAAATTTTTCCTTCCTAACTTTCCCAAGGATAATACTATGATGTATCAGAATGACCAAAAAAAATAATTGTTTCTCAAAAAGAAAAAAGAAAGGAACATTAATCAAATTGAAAGCCATCATCACCTGTGCATCAAAATCCTTATCAAAGTAATCGTTAATGGTGCATGCAATATTTCTTGACAGGAAAGACACCAAGAAAAAGAATGCCAACATCTTCACAACAGGAAGGCTGCCGGGGTTCACTGCAAAAGCAAGCGACCGCATACATGGCCATGCAAATCGAAACGTTCCAATCGGCTTATCCAAGCGTATAAGTAGGCATAAGGCCGAGCTTTTTCAGGAAATACCCATTGAATCCAAGAAGAAGAAGAAGCAGGTTTTTCATCTTCATTTTCCCCTAGTGACTTTGATGAGGTTGAAAATTGAGGAGCTTGATTAGATAAGTTGTAACCTCTACCAAGAAATCTGGTGCCTTTTATCCAAGAACGTTTGAAGGTGGCTGAGTTTTCTACACTGGAAGGGTTGAATTTGGAGATTGATTTGGCTGGCTTGATGGAGGATTTGGGGAGAGCTATGGAGGGACGAGGCTGATGGTTGAAGTTGGAGATGGGATAAATCCCAGAGAAACTTTAAGAGAATGCCATGAGATTGGAAGCTTGGGCCATTTTGTGATGGTCCCCAAGAGAAACTGTTGTGAGAGGATGGTATGGAAGCTTAGGAGATTAGCTCTACAAGTACATAGTTACCAAATGAAGATATGAAATAAATAAACAGATGAAAATTATTTAGAAGAAAGTTTGCTATGTATTTTTTTGTATGGCAAACCCTATATACAGCGGTGGGATGCCAGTCCAAATTTTATTAATAATAATAGAAATTCACAGAATACAATGAGGGTTGATCAAGTGTAATGTCTCCTCTCACCGGTCGAGGCAAATCACGAAACAACTCATACATTGTAGTTACTCCAGAATCAACTCCAACATTGGACAATCTATCCGGTTTGTTCGCATCTCGAAAGCAATGTGATACCTCCTTAAAAAAACTTCTAGCCTGCAACAATTCCTGTAAATCCCTCTGCAAGCTCCACGGACATCTCGCTCTTCCTTGAACAATCTGGACAAGTACCAAGGCATTTGATTCTAAGTGCAAAGTAAAATACCCTTGAGCAAGAGCTAACTTAACACCATAAAGCAGCGCTTTCAACTCTGCCCGTACACTTGACATCTCCCAAAAAAACATGAGAATCCGAGGAGAATACCCAAAAAAAAGTTTGCCATGTATGAAATCACTTTCACTAGTAGGTCATTGATTTTGCTATTAAAAAAAAAACAAAACAAAACAGTCCAATGAATGTTTAGATTTTGTAATTTGGGTCAAAAGGTACATGGTCAAGGTAATCCAATAGTTTAACTAATTGTAGCAAATGGATCCACTTTGTACCTTTTGTGTTTATTAAAATAGGACGCATGTGTGGGGAGCTCGCAACCAAAGAATTTTCAAAAAAGAAGCATATGTGGATGTGGAGGCTGCTACTTCAGGGTCTAGAGGTGTAAAAAGAAGAAAATTGGCAGCTTAGTTTGGAATTTGGACCAAAGGCTTTTTTCTTTCTTTCTTTTTTTGGGTAACCATTGTTGCCGTGAAAATTTCGAGCTTAAACAATGTATCATAGGAGCAGAACAAAACTAAGATTATTCGTGGGTAAAAATTAATACGAATGCTTTGAATTGTTGGAACAAACATAATTCAACATCTAAAAACGAAGATAAGACGTTATTAATGGGAGAAATGAGGTATCACAAATATGTGAGGTTCACTCACTAATGGATGGTGCAGTTTGGATCCATGATCTCTACAATTGTTGAATCTGAGTAACTGCAAGGTCTAATTGATGGTTCAGATCTGAGTATCGAATTAAGTGTTGAAAAGAAATTTTCTTTTAGAGTTTCAGCTTAGATTTAGGCTAACATATATCAGCTCGCTGAAATTTCAAGAGAAACCAAATCCCTGCACTAATATTGTTTGTTCCAATGTTGTGATCCCTCCCGAAGCTTTACCATGGCTTGACCATTTGTCAGGAATTATAGTATTACCTTAGAATTTAATATATATTTCAACTCAACAATTTGTAGTTAAGAAATCGTCGAAATAGACCCAATGATCAGTTCTTAGAATCTTGCCCATCGTTAGGTTAAGAATTCGAATCCTATGCTTGGCAATCGGTGTGGAGAGGAGTAGAAGGGTAAAAAGGACAAAAATATATATAAAGAATTAAGCACATTGGGACATTTAAAAGTTTGTGAAATTTTCAGTTTATCTTCTTTATCATACACTCTTTGAAAATTTAAGAAGCAAATTGGGAGCTTTATAATCTGAGTTCTGGGAGATGGGAGTCCTCAAATATGAAGGAATTTTTGCATGTCTGTTTTACACATAAATGACGTTTGGTCTTACCACAAATTTGCTGCTCCAAAATTTGATTTCGGGAGCTTTGCTTATCCTAAACCGAAGAAATCATATATCTCATATACATGCTTTAAGATTTTGGAATCTACAATTTTAATGTCGAAGCAACCTATTTAAATTCTCTTTTTTCTTTCCTTTTTGCTGATGCTCTCCTTTTCTTGTTTTCCTTTCCTTTTTTTTTCCCCCTGTCATTTTTAGGTTTTCATTGACATGAAATTAGATAACTCACAATTGATCCAAAAATTGGGCTTTTTGTTGTGTAAGGAATGAAAACAAAGATAGTATTGTGCCTTTTAGCACTTATGCTTATGGCATTTTCCAAGATGAAGAGTGGACCGAACTCACTCTTCTGTGCTAATATGCACGTTTGTATGAATTGGACCCTTCTCTAAATACTGTGCATATTTTGATATCATCTATAAAACTATCAACAACAAAAAAAAAAAAAAATCCAATGATTGGGCACCCATGCACATATGACACTGATATGAAGCTTCTTAACTGGATTTCAAATAAGGTGCTTCGATGGTAAGATGTTTTCCAAATATTATAATTCTCAGTTAATTTCTTGTCATTTCAAAAACTTTTTCATCTCTAACATACATCATATTATCAAAAAAAATTCTATAATAATTATTCTGAATAATATTTCAAATAATCTCGTATCCAAACACACCTTTAAATGATGGCTTATGTTTTGTTTGATCTTAAACTTCCTATTGGAACTGTAAGCACAATATAACCATCATCCACCTCTCCCTTGTGCTATATTTCAATTCAATTTTCCTTTGCCTGCAAAGTGAAAAATTACCACAGAAAATAAAAACATTTGTGGAATTTATGTAATTTGTTATTTATTGTCACTTATGCCACGCAAACGAGTAAAAATTAAGCCTTGTTAAAAAAGAAAACCAAAAGACAAAGAAAAGAATCTTAAAAAGGAAGAGTCCAAATGAAGGAGCTGGAAATTGAGCGTAGGAAAAAACAAAATGTATTAGATAGTTGTAAATACCTTAATTTATGACAAGAGTCTTCCAAACAGAATTGCACTAAAGACAATAGCACCAAAATATCTATTTGATGCAAATCTGTAGAGTGAAAGGAATAAAATAAAACTTAGTTAACAGATTATAATATAAAATTTATTCATAAGAAATAGATGCCAAGCATAGACTTGTGGATTGAGTTTGTGTATCTTTAATTAGACCTTCTTTCTGAAAATAGGCTAGATCACATTTGGGGCTGGAACCATCAAATTTTGTTAAAGCACTTTTTCATTTTTTTTCCATATGCCAAGGGATGTCCATTTTAAAAGAATGTTTCTCCCTATGGGTTAAAAACCAGAAATCCTAGAGGCTCTATCTATAAGTATCAGTAAGAAGGATTTTTTTAAAGAGTTTATTTTAGTGTTAGTGGAAGAACTCAAAATCGAGAACTTTCGTTTATACTCCCTCTTCTCGTATTACTCAACTCATCCCTCCTTTCCCCTTAGTAAGAACGATTAGACTACAGACACTAATACAATTAGACTTTTTGCCCATCCAACAATTCATGTATATTATCTTTACAAGCTTCAAAAAATTTATTAACATCTGCCCTGGACTTACCAACAAAGAAAAGTAATTAGCTCAAAAAATTGTAAGAGAATGTTCTATAGCTATAGGCAAAACATTATGATTTGAGGGCGTGAAAATTAAATTTCAGCCTCTTATAATTTCCTAAGAGCATCAATTATGGAAAGTCAAATAAGCATTAATTTGAATTCCTTCAAATTTTATCTTCATTAATAATTACCCACTTTCTGAAACAATCTGCTGGGTTTGATAAGTCAACATCCCAAATCTGCCAAGCTATTTGACCTGATGCAGCCGCTAGCAATACAAAAAATGGCCATCCTGTGACACTCGAAAAATATATAAACCTAAAAATTAGAATATCCAAAAATAAAATTAAAAATAAATAACGCTTCAAAAAGAGCTGAAAAAATGAGGAACATATTGTTGGCCAAATCTAGAGGTTGAATAACCATGAACATAAAATGGTCAAAGGATTGGGAATAAAAAGTTAATTTTAGTTATAAATTGTACAGATGATATTTAAAAAAAAAAAAAAGAATTATCATAAATTATAGTTAACTAAAGATGAACGAATAGAAGTAAATACCAATGTGAGCGTTAAATCCAGCTAGAGCAAGACTAGCAATGGATGCAACTCCAAAACCAGTAGTCCACAATTTTGTTGAATCACCTAATAGCAAAGCTGTAGATTTAACACCCACTTTCACATCATCTTCTTTATCCTGTAACCATCGGCAGCACATATGGGTACAAGTCTGTGAGTCAATGGCTCAATGCAACCACTAGGAAAATCAAACTACTCTTTCTAATATTGCATCTTAGAACTTAGAAGACGCTCTTAAAATTCTCTGCGTTATCAGGTGTAAGATTCGAATTCTGATAATTGGGGATGGGAAGGGGGTGGGAAGGATGAGAGGGTAAAATAATAATAATAATAAAATAATTGCGTCAATATTGCCAACTAAATGGAGTTTAATAGCTTCAAAGATATTGAACACGGTAGAAATATATATATGCATTGATCTTCGGCCATTTCTTGTGTCACACATTTTTTTACCATTTGAATCTTCGTCATTTGAAGCGTATAAAGTATTTTGTTGGAGAACTTAGGATCAGGAGTCTCTAATGTCACAGGCGGGTGATCGCAGGGTACAGCATAGATACTAACATAATAGATGTAGGAACTAAAATAATAAATGCAGATACTTACACAAGAACATGTAAAAACACAACAAATTTTTGGGTATAAATTTCAATGAGAAAGCAAATTTGTTGTGTTTTTTCACTTTATTGTATGAGTATCTATATTTATTATATTAATATCTACATCTATTATACCTACATCTACACTTCACCTTGCTGTCAGTTAGGAGTGTGCATCGAATTCGAAATCGATAATTCGGAAGTTTGAATTTGGAATTTTTCGAAATTTTGGTTTCTAATAATTCGACTGAATTCGATTTCGAATTCACCAATTTCGAATTTGAATTCATACCGAATTGAATTCGGAATTCGGTAAATTCCGATTTCACCGAATTCGGAAAAATTTATATATTATTATATAATATAAAATTTATACTATATAATATAATATTATATAATATAATATTATATAAATTTTATATAATATTATATAGTATAAGTTTTATATTACATGTATAAAAAATATATTTATATATTAAAAACGAATTTGAAATCGAAATCGGAATTTGAATTCCGATTTCGAATTGTGAATTCGAAATTGAAAATTCCAATTTGAAAAACTCCATTACCGAATTTGAACCAAATTCGAAATATATGAATTCGGAAAATCCGAATTCAATTCCGATTCCCGATTTACTGATTTCAAAAATTCCGAATTCAATTCGAATTCGATCGGTAAATCGAAATTTTTCGATTTTGCACACCCCTACTGCCAGCAGAGGTCAGATCCGAGAATTTGTACCTGATGTGCATATATTGTATCCACCTCCAGTGTCCAGAAGAAGCAAGCAACGAGGACCGGGAAGACAATAGCAGGATCAAGACTTCCTTTAACAGCAGCCCATGAGTACAAAGCTCCCCAATTTGCAGTTAAACCAAGATGGGCTTGAGGCTGCATTGATATGTTTGAACTTCTCCATCAGCCCAATCTTTATTAAGTAAAGAATATTTGGATCTTGGTTAATAATTCAATTTAATACTTTAATTTAATATGTTCAGACATATTTGATAATAAAAAATAGAACGTCTTAATTAATTAATAGAGTCTAAATTGTTTAGATAAAACTTACTCAAACAGTGAGTGATAAGCTGTTCACTTATCAATATAAAATACTTTCAAATGTTAAGATTTTAGTACCTAACAATTCAATAATTTAACAAATTTATATTTCAATTTTATCAAATGCACCGTCAGACTTAATGAAGTTCGCATTGGACAATCATGGGGTCTATCCCATGGTAACCAACTGTTACTAATAAAAAATTTTTGCACAACTATGCAGTGTGATCTTTTTTTTTTTTTTTGGGATAGCCAAACAAAGTGAATGAAAACTAAGAGATGTTTTTTAACATACTAAGACAATGGAAATAATAGGTTTTCTTTTCTTTTTTTTTCGTGTTTAGCAGGGTAAGAAGTGGGGATGTAGATGGAAAGATTGCAATTCAGGACCTCTAAGCAATGAAAACATCAGGTAAAAGGAAGAGAGAGAAAATAAAGAAATAAGAAATGCAATCATTATTTTATATTATTTATGTACGTTTGAGTTGCATAATCGTTCTTTGCATATATAGCCAATTATTTTTCTTTCTTTTAGATGATCTCATTTTGTTATTCGGCTTTAGTTGTATTTACTTCAACTTACTAGCTAAAGCTTTACCTACATTGTTGAAAAGAAAACTAAACAGAGTGAATGAAAACCCAGAGATTGTTTCATGAAAAAAAATAAAAGAATAAGATGTTCGATCATTTTTTTTAATTTTATTTGTGTTCACTTTAGTCGCGTAGTCATATTTTGCAAATAATTTTTTTTAGATGATCTCATTTCGCTATTCAGTTTTATTTATATTACTGATCTGTGGTTTTCCATCACTTCTGTATATTCTTGGCTTGGACCAAAATAACTACACACATTCAATTGATTTTTTTTTTTTTTTGGGGGAGGTTTGGCAAGAAAGAGAACTAAACTAAGGAATAGTGTTTTTCCAATTTTTTTTTTTTATTATGATGGTGTAGAATGATGTATAATTTCAGCTTATGGCACTTTGACCAACTAGATGAATTTGAAAGCTTTAAAAAAATTGAATAATATGGTACTGATAAGCAAAATTTATACATAATGACCTTTAGATTAGATTAATTAATGTTCAAGAATTTGTGTGTGTGTGTGTGTGTGTGTTAAGGTAAAGTAAACTAGAGGCTGGTCTAACTAATCACTAATGTTGGAAAATTTTTATTATTTTTTATATTGAGGTTGCAAATTAGTGTTTCTTTCTATGCACTGCTATTATTCCACTTTTAGAAAGTCTATGTGAAATCAAGGACTTATCTATTTACATATCCGGAAATAGTTTATCTAAGGAAGATTAATATAATAATTTCCTTAACCTGAAATAATTGTCTTAATACTAATATCATTCTAAAATAATTGTCTTAACCTGATTAGCCATGCCTAGAAATATGTAAGCTATAATAATTAGTGAATCAAATTTTTAGAAAATCATAGAGAACATTGCATCAATATTGTATCTAGTGCAAAAGTGTTTCATCCAAACAAATGTTTTAGTATTTAAAGTTTCATTTTAAAAAAATTAAAGTTATTGTGGACGTAATTTATGAGATGGAAAAAAAGATAACAGATACAATACCCAATAAGTAATTCTCTTCATGAGCGGGTAAGTGAAGATCAACGGCAAGGATGAAACCCATAAAATACGGCTGTATATAAACAAAAGACATAAATCAACACGTTAGAATTTCAAGATGCCCAAAAAATAGAAAAAGAGAAAGATCAAAATTAATAATGAATTAGAACCTAAGCAGCAGTCCAGTATATATTTAACACGAAATTAAAATGCAGGAGGAGAATATCTAGTTTTGTTATGGTAATTAACTTGATTATCAAATACTTGTATCGATTAGTTCGATAAAAAAGAATAACTATTTGTAACTCACAACCTAACTTAGGGTCCATTTGGGTTGCGATGGTTTATTGAAAAGTACTTCCTTAATAGAACTTTTAATAAAAATACTTATTAACTGTTTAAATGCTTTTAAATGTATATTTGAAAACATAATTCAATAGGTACTTATTGTATTGGATAATGTGTAAGTTAAAAATTATTAAAAGTATTTATCTCTTTATTGGGTTCATAATATAGGATAAGATAATTAAATTTGATATTTTTTTTAAATTACAAAAAAGTTACTTTAAAAGCATCAAATTTGAATTTTTGCTACAAGTGCTTTTAATATCAAAAGTTCTACTCCTAATTTTATAGGATGTTGTTTATCAAAAACTTTAAAAGTACATTTAACACTTAAAAATACCTTCTTTTTTTTTATCAAAAGTATCGCAACCCCAAATGAGGCATTAGACATAAGCGACTTGTTTTCGCGTAATGATGTTAATTGTGCTGCAACTTAAGTCATTCAATCATTTTTTACTTTCTTCTACTTACTTAAATAAAGTGAAAGAGTTTAAAACGTAAGGTCATTTACCAATTGCCTTTTCTTTCAAAAAAAAAAACATAGTAACATTATATGCATGTGCCTGCTTGTCTAGATATTGTCTAGATATTGGGGCCGCACCGACTCGAATATTTGGATTCTAGTGATCTGCTTGGCCGGTGTGTTCTTTGAGTTTGTAAATAAAGTTTTATTATAATTTACTGTAGCTCTCTCAGGAAAAATACAGACTCTGACATTTGTCTTTATCTTTCTTTTCAAAACAACCCCTGTCCCTCATCACACCACCCATCACCCACCATTGGTAACCTTCGTCGCCCATCATCACTACTCAGTTTTGTCATCAGTATCTTATTTAAAAGTTATTAAAAAAATGTAACTAGTTTGATGTTTGGTCAGAATAGATGTGAGGGACAATATCAATAGTTCTTCGGATTCGCTGATGAAATATAAAGGGAAATGAATAAGAAGAAAAAAGAAAAAAAATTATAAAACCCATCTTTTGTATAAGTATAATAAATAAGAGAATTTTATTAGAATGTTAAAACTAGTATTATCATTTTGGACGAGCAACCGGAGGTATGTATAATTTTTAAAATATTAAGTGGGCTAAGTGAAATTATTGAAAATCTCAATCACCTACTCCTTCCGTCCCACTTTGATAGTCCTGTATTCCTTTTTCATCTGTCCCAAATTATAGTCCACTTTCCAATTGAAAAATGTAGTTGTATTTTAATTTTTCTAAAATACCCTTATTCAATGTATGTAGTTGTTACTATAAACCTACCCTATTTAATGAGAGTTGATTCTTTTTTTACCATCAATTCAAGTTTCCATAAAGTTGTACCATATTTAATGTGAGCATATTTTAGAAAAATAGCAATCTAAATTTACCTTTCCAACAAAATTAACTATTTTTTTTTTAAACTGTGTGAAAAAAGAAACAGAACTATCAAAGTGGGACGGAGAGAGTACTTTTTTCTTCAATTTTTTTTCCCATTTGAAAACCACAGACAGAGGTAGGTTGCGTCTACGGTGTAAAGTTCACCTTTCTGCCCATAGTAGGCAGAACCAATGCAAGGAGGCCAGCTGTGCTATGTGGGACGCACAAAGAAGGACATCCGAGCACCACTGGAAAAAGCCGGTTTGGCTTGGATGAAAAACGTTATATATTTTAAAATTACAATAAAAGTCCTCTTAAAAATTTGTTCATCATCTAATGCCCAATACTTATATTTGATAAATTAAAATAGTTAATTAAATATTCTATTATAATATAAACAACTATATGTCATTGAGTTGATTGAATGATATATTTTTTTTTGTATTTCAATTAGTTGTCAATTAAGTTTCAATTGAAATAAATATTTTATAATTATTTAAATTATCAATTTAAGATGAGCATAAATATAAATACATTAAATTGTATTATTGAAATATTTGATTTAATATAAAAGAAAGACAAGAAGAAATACAAGAAATTTTTTAAAAATTCATGTGAGTCCTTTATATTAGTAATCACATTTACTTGTTATTATAATTACAATGCCTAACCATAACCAATTGAAACTCATATACACAAGTCATACAACAATTTGCGTTATAATGTTTACAATTAAAGTTACTATACACTCAAATTAAAATTCTCTTTTTTCCACTAAAATTTCTTTTATATTAAATCAAATATTTCAATAATACAATTTAATGTATTTATATTTATGCTCATCTTAAATTGATAATTTAAATAATTATAAAATATTTATTTCAATTGAAACTTAATTGACAACTAATTGAAATACAAAAAAAAAAAAGAAAATATCATTCAATCAACTCAATGACATATAGTTGTTTATATTATAATAGAATATTTAATTAACTATTTTAATTTATCAAATATAAGTATTGGGCATTAGATGATGAATAAATTTTTAAGAGGACTTTTATTGTAATTTTAAAATATATAACGTTTTTCATCCAAGCCAAACCGGTTTTCTCCAGTGCTGCTCGGATGTCCTTCTTTGTGCGTCCCCACATAGCACAGCTGGCCTCCTTGCATTGGTTCTGCCTACTATGGGCAGAAAGGTGAACTTTCCACCGTAGACGTAACCGACAGAGGTATGGGTGGCTATTTATTTATTATTCCAGACCTGAATGAGATGTGGCTGCTTTAATTGCATGTTTCGGGAAACCTACTGCGACCTGAACTTTGGCAGCTATTAAGACTGCAGTTGGCGGTTTTCGACCGCATGGGGATGCTAAAATGACGACTAATTAAAGAAGAATATCAAGAGACCACCTTGCATGGATATGAGACATAAGCTAGAAGATAAGTCGGAGCTGAGGCAAAAATGAAACAACCCTAAGTGATTTCAACATGTAATTTTGGTCATTTAACTATTTAAGTCTTAACTAACATATCTTACTATTGTACCTACACAATTAAAGATTCTAATTTTCGGATTTGTCAATTATTACATTATAGTTTGTCCAAGACAAGAAAAGGAAAAAAAAAAGAGGATAACCAAAAAAAAAGGAGATGGAAGAGTTTAGGTTATTAGGTTATTTAATAGAACGCGTTGCAGCTACTTACTATGGGCCTGTTTGGAACCTGAGTTTTTTGGGAGTTTGTCTAAAACTTTACTGTAGTGTACTGTAAAAGTTTTTGAAAAAATTTTATAGAAGTTTTTGTAAGGTAAAAAACTTTTTTGTAGAAGTTTATGAAATGTTACTGTAGATTTTTTTGGATTATTTTTAGATGTATTTTTAAAACATATTTTTGAGTATTTTATAATTTATAATTTTTGTATTTTTATATTTTTAAACATTTATTCATTTAAAATACATTTATAAATATTTAGAAATAAATATATTTACATATTTATATAAAAATATATAAATGTATTATATTATATATAATACGTAATATACATATATTTATAAATGTATAAATGTATAATTAATATAAATGTATAAATTATAAATGAATATTATATAAATGTATAAATTATAATTTATAAATGTATATGATGATTATGTATAAATGTATTAATATAATTAATATAAATGTATTAATGTATTAATATTATGTATAAATGTATAATTAATATTGTTTATAATTTATAATTTTTATTGTTTAAATATTTATATGCATTTATGCATTTATAATACATTTATAAATATTTATAAACAAATATATTTATATATTTATAAACAAATATATTTATATATTTATATAAAAATATATAAATGTATTATATTATATATAATACATAATATACATATATTTATAAATGTATAAATGTATAATTAATATAAATGTATATATTATAAATGAATATTATATAAATGTATAAATTATAATTTATAAATATATATGATGATTATGTATAACTGTATTAATATAATTAATATAAATGTATAAATGTATTAGTATTATGTATAAATGTATAATTAATATTGTTTATAATTTATAATTTTTATTGTTTAAATATTTATATATATTTATGCATTTATAATATTTATAAATAAATATATTATATAGTTATATAAAAATATATAAATGTATTATATTATATATAATACATAATATAAATATATTTACAAATGTAATAATTGTATATTATTATAAATGAATATTATATAAATATATAAATTAATATATTATAAATATATAAATATATAATATTATGTATAAATGTATTAATATAATTAATATAAATGTATAAATGTATTAGTATTATGTATAAATGTATAATTAATATTGTGTGTTAATATTATGTATAAATGTATTATATTATACATAATACATAATATAATTGTATATAAATATACATAAATGTGTAATATATATAATATGTATTATATATTTAAATGTATAATATATAATATTTATATAAATGTATAATTACATATTTATATTAATATTAATTTATATGGTATATAATATTTATATAAATATATAAAAATATATTTTAAATAAAATAAAATATTTATAATATGTTTAAATAAATATATAATATATATAATAAAGTTTTGAGGGTGAGGGACTCAAAAATTCAAAAAAAATTTTTGAGGTTACCAGCGGCGTCGGAATACGTGACCGGCGCTGGAAGAGGTGGTGGAGGCGGTGTCTGGTGTGGTGGGTTGGGTGAGGGAGGAAGAAAAGTTTTTGAGAAATTTTTTGTGTATAGATTTTTGAAGTGTGTGGGTAAAAAACTTTAAAAAGTTTTTTGGGGTTCCTGTAGCAAAAGTTGTTAAAAAACTAGTAGCTAAAAAACTTGGTAAAAAACTAGGGTGCCAAACAGGCCCTATATCGTTAAGCCATGTAAGAAAGAGACAAAATAAAAGGATAATGATGAGAATATAATTTTATTATATATATGATAGTTGCAAATTGACTATGCAAAGCTTTTTTTTCCCCTTTTGTAGCAAATTTCTTAAACAGGGAAGGGGTGTCACCTTGAAAATTTATGAATTAAAAACTTTTTTCTAAAAAAAAAGAGAAAGGAGTTATCTATGGGAGTATAAATTGTTGAAAATCTAAAACTCTTGGTAAGAATTGGTCATTTCAATATAGCTAGGGTTTTTGCCTATAAGTGAATTAATAGGTTAATACTGGTTGCTGCTTGAGGCCTAGGACAAGAGTCAAAGGGGGCGCATACCTTAGTTCATTTATTGGGAGAAAAATTCCATATCCGAGTAACACTTGAATTCCAAGGAAGCAAAGTGCTTGAAATCCCGTTATTGCCCCAGAGGCAAGCGGCCTTCCTTTGGTTCGCTCAACCTGCATTATAGATATGGGTTTGAGAGGGTAATTATCTTTTTTTTTTTTTTTTTGGATTTGGTAACTAAGCAATTATATTTAGAACAATAATTGCATTAGAGACAATGTGATTTTGAGCATAGAAACAGTATAAAAAGTTTGAAAATTTGAAAGAAATCATGAGAACGTTCATTTTTCTAGGGAGGAGGCAGTATGTATATTTAAAATTTAGGGATAATGTTAGGATTAGACTGATAGGTTAATTTATATTTGAACACTATATACTCCCTTCATCCTACTTTGATAGTTTTAATATTTTTTTAACATGGTTTTAGACAAGTTAATTAATTTTATTGAAAGAATAAATCTAACCTACTATTTTCTTAAAATACCCCTATATTAATATCAGTAGTATAAGTATCTATTATACCTTTTCATTAATTGTAACAATAATATTAATGAATCGATGCACTTAATGAGTAAGGTAGGTTATATTCATTGATAACAGAGTACATTAAATAAGAGTATTTTCAAAAAACTAAAAGTTAACTATAATGACTTGTTGATTGAATCAAAATGGGTTGGGATTCATAGCTATATTTCGTACATCTTTAATACTCCCTCCGTCTCACTTTGATAGTTCTGTTTCTTTTTTCACACAGTTTAAGAAAAAATAGTTAACTTTGTTGGAACAATCAATTTAGGCAGCTATTTTCCTAAAATACCCTCACATTAATTAGAGTACAACTTTATGGGAACTTGAATTAATGGTAAAAAAAGAATCAACTCTCATTAGATGGGGTAGATTTATAGTAACAATAACTTACATTAAATAAAGGTATTTTAGAAAAATTAAAATATAACTATATTTTTCAATTGGAAAGGGGACTATAATTTGGGACAGATGAAAAAAGAAAACAGGATTATCAAAGTGGGACGGAGGGAGTATTAAGAAAAGGCTATGACATTGCTATTTAAGTGCGTTCTCCTAGGGCGAAGAGAAGGAAGTCATGGATATGGCTTCCGATCGAAGAGATAGGGTCAGCTTGTCTTCACCTATCGGCTATATATATATAGATATATAATGATAGTACTCACGGCGGTGAGTAATTCAATTCTAAAGTTTAGATCTGACCTCTTAGATTCGTACTATCTATATCATAATTTTTATAAGTGATATATTTATCCCCCATATATTTATATGTATGTATATATATAGATATAAATGATAGTACTCGGGACGGTGAGTTATTCTAAAGTTTAGATCTAATCTCTTAAATCCATATTATCTGTATCATAATTTTTGTAAGTGATATATTCATCCTTGATATATTTATCCCTCATAGATATTATATAATGATAGTACTCAGGGCGATGAGTTATTCTAAAGTTTAGATCTGACCTCTTAGATCTATACTATCTATATCATAATTTTTGTAAGTGATATATTTATCCCTCATAGATCCGTACCAAGGGGAAGGGAAATCCCACTTATTTGTGCCTCTCTTTAATATTCCGTTGATTATCTTTATTTTCTGCTTACTTAATTTATATATATTTGTTTGTATTTATCATATTACAAACAACCACCACCCCTTACATATATAATAATAGTAATAATAATAAAAGCAATACCGCCCTTGTATAGTTTTTTGCTTCTAGAGAACAAGAAAATAGATTACATTTTAGTTTTTACCAAGTGAAAACTGAAAACATGTGAAATCGTCAATTGCTCTGTATCTCCAAATGAAAAGTAAAAACATAATTTAAGATTCAGTAATCAAATGGAAAAGGGATCATCACCTGTGCATCAAAATCCTTGTCAAAATAATCGTTAATGGTGCATGCAATATTTCTTGACATAAAAGACACCAGGAAAAAGAATGCCAACATCTTCATATCAGGAAGGCTGCCGGGGTTCGCAGTGAATGCAAGCGACCACAAGCATGGCCATGCAAATAAAAACGTCCCGGTCGGGTTGTCCAAGCGGACAAGGTAGGCATAAGGCCGGGCTGTTTCAGGAAAAACTGCTTCAATCCAAGAAGAAGTGACAGCTTTCTCTTCTTCAGCTTTCTCTATTGTCTTATCTGAGGCTGAAACTTGTGGAGCTTGATTAGCTAAGTTGAAGCCTCTGCCAAGAAGTCTTACACTTTTTATCAAAGAACGGTTGAAAATGGCTGAGTTTTCCAAAGTGTAATGGCTGATTTTGGAGTTTGATTTGACTGGTTTGATGGAGGATTTGGGAAGATATATGGAGGGACGAAGTTGATGGTTCAAGTTCGAGATTGGGTTAGTTCTAGACAAAGTTTGGGAAGAAGACATGATGAGCTTGGAAGCTTGGGCCATTGTTTTCTTGCTTAAGCCTAATGCATGTATGTAGTTAGAAGCTTGGGATGTTGCCATATATACTGATCCAATTTGATCATCTAGCCAGGGATAAAGGCTGCTGCCTAAAACGAGGGAGGGTATTCAAGAATCGCAAGATTCAAAATCAACATATACAGCTAGTATTGCACAAATTGTCTGGATATATGAAACAAAGAATATGTGATTTCACATTGACTCAGAGGCTAATGGTTTCGGATATTTTGTAGCTTTAGAACTTTGGTGTATTTGGCCTGTAAATCAACAATTTAATTTGATAGTTCTTATTTTTCTTCCAAAAAAGACTCCAAATCTTTATAATGGAAAACAAAGTGCAAATTTGTTCTTCCTGTTGAGCCAAATGCATGTAGTTAGGAGTTTTGGATGTTGCTATATACATATATATATATATATATATATATATATTGATTTGATCATCTAGAGGCGCACAAGGGCTGCTTCCTAAACGAAGGGAGAATATTCAAGACTCAAAATTTTCAAAATCAACATCTACAAGGCTAATTCCTTAGAATATTACCCAAAAATTAAAAAAAAATTTTGGCAAATGTGGTGCTGACAAAGTCCATTTCTAAAATCAGCACGGCGGGCAACAATGTTTTTAACTTTTTTCAATTCCTGGGGCAGCGACGTTTTTTAAAAAAAAAATAAAAGTTCAAGGGCTGTAGCACGGCAGCCTTTTTTTTTAAAAGAAAATTTCTGAGCCTGCCGGTTATCTGAAGTTAGAAACCTTTCGTTTGCAAATTGTTGAGGATATGATGGTGTTGGCCTCCGCCGGCAGGTCCAAAGTACACAAAAGTCACATAACTTTAGTCATGGGCTCATGGTGTGCTTTTGTCTGGATGAATTCTCTGAAATTTTATATTCTTTCCAAAAGAAAACCAGTCCCAATGCCATGCTAATTCTTTAAGCCAAAGAAAAAAAATTGTAGACTAGATTCGTGCTGTAATTTACTGTATCCAATTTGTCCTAGTGTTAATGTTTATTTTCAGAAAAGAAAAGGGAAAATGGTCAATTTAGTCCCTAAACTTTTTTATACTGTCAATTTGATCCATATTTAATTTTTTTGGCCAATTTAATCCCTATACTTACTTATCGATCCCAATTGAGGAACTACGTGGCAGCGCTACCTTGTAATTTCAATCAAGCTTCTAATTGAACACTTAAACAGGAGTATTTCGGATACTTCACCTTGTAATTTCCATCAAACTTCCATTGTTGGCATAAACCCTCCTCTTAACTCCGGAATAACTACTCCTCCTCTTCCCACTCTCGCTCCCAGCAAGTGAGCTGCCATCCCTCGAGTACCTCCCACAACAATAGGCTATCAGGAAGGAAGCGATCACCAATACAGCCATGGCAGTTGACATGATTATCGCAACTAGTGCTCCGCTTCCAAGAGGAACATATGGGTTGTGGGCTCACCACGGTTGAGGGTGAAGGAAGGATGGGGAATGGGATTAGAAGGGAAAGAATTGAACTGGTGAATGACGAGGGAAGGAATCTGGGCGATGAAGAAGAAGAAATTTGCCTAAAATGACTCAGAGGGTTGGTGGTGAAATAGCAAACTTGACGACTTGCATATAGGAGCTGTTGCTGTCGCGGCCGCGGCTGTTGAGGAGGAGGAGAAGCATGTTTATGGTGGGAATGATCAGCTCTTGGAAACTTGGTGTTGCTGTTGGAGCAAAAATGATGGTGCGGATGTGGCTGGGTGGTGTGGAGAGAAGATTTGTTTGCTTCCAGCGAACAGCGAAATGCTGATACAAAAATGTCCGATAGGAGTGGGAGGTAGGGTTTAGAAGTGAAGGGTTGATTGCGGCGGTGGCAAAGGTGAGAGAGAAAATGGGAGAAGGAGGAAGAGGTTCGCATTTCACTTGTCAAATCTCAAAACAACTAAAATCTTTAGAATCAAATCAAAAGTGGAGACTGGAGAGGAGGGCCGCTCATGGTTGCCCTCAAGTGCTGCTGCTTACACATACGACTAGTACTATTATTACTAATTCCTCTGCTCTGCTAATTCAATGCAAATTACTACTTGTACATGTTTGTCTCTGTGGCGGATTTAGGAATAGTCCCAGATAGTGCATTGTTCTATAGGCTTATGGTCATGATGTGGGAGAAATTCGAGAATTGGGAAGGAATGGGGCCCCTGAGATTGTTGTTGGAGACGTCGAGGCGGAGGAGGCGTCGTAGGGAGGAGAGTTCGGTTGGATTTCACCGGAGATGTCATTGCTGGAGAGATAGAGGAGCTTGAGGTTGAGGCAGCGGGTGAGAGGGCCGAGGGTGCCGTTAAGGTGGTTGTCGTGGAGGTTGAGGAGGCGGAGCTAGTCAAGGGAAAAGAGGGAGTCGATAGAGCCTCGGAATTAACATCAGAAGTACCCGAAATACCCCTGTTTAAGTGTTCAATTAGAAGCTTGATCGAAATTACAAGGTGGCGCCGCTGCGGCGTTCCTCAATTGGAACCGATAAGTAAGTACATGGATTAAATTGGCCAAAAAAATTAAATAGGGATCAAATTGAGAGTATAAAAAAGTTTAGGGACTAAATTGGCCATTTTTCCAAAAGAAAAAGAAGAAATAGATGTTCTTGAAACATGCTTGAATATCGCAACGGATCCTCTGTACCACAACCCTGTCTCACACCCTATCCCACCCCTCCTAAACTTGTCAAGTGTCCTTTTATTAACCCAATCCTGAAACAATCCAATTCGAACCATGTTTATTTAATTAATCGATTAATCGGGTTGAAAAACCGAATCTCTATAACCAAAATCAATTAAAATAAAAAACCCAAAAAACAAAAATAGAGATTAAACAAGGCACAAAAAAAAACCCCACAAGGCCACGAAATCGGTTTCCCATCAGATTTCACTCCTCCTCAAAAGCTTCATCGCAACGCAGCAGGGCTGTCTGAGTTCATCATCTTCACCATTCAGCTTTGACGAAATATTCACGGATGAAGCTTCGAAGCTCTTCCCAAAGGTGAAAAACAACTTATTTCTTAAAAACCTTGGTGGGAAACCTTCGAAGCTCTTCGCAGGCCAATTTGATGTGATTTGCTAAGCTTAGGCACTTGATCTAGTTTTCAACTTCAAATTGGTCTGTTGATACACACCAATTGAATTAGTTTTGCTATATCCTCAATTGCAGGGAAGAAGTAAGAAATTGGTTATATTCTGTAACAGATAGGTGTCTCTGTTTTAGTGTTTTGGAACTTAGGTGTAGATGATTTTGGAAGGGTAACAAGTTTGCGTTTATCTTTTGCTGATTGAGGGAATTTTTCTTCTAATTTGTAGCTTCCACTCCGAATGTTTCATGCGTTAAATTGTCTGAAAATTCCGTATCACCTGGACGAAGCACACCACCTGTTCGATCAAATGCCTAAGAGGAAGATGAGTACAAAATTTATGGTGCACATTGCAATGTAATCTACATGAGTGACAAATTTTGTTAACAACTCTCCACATTCTCTATTCTGATTTTGTACTTTCCATGGAAGGTATTGATTGTGGTCTTATCAAAAAGAAAAATGCGTGGCTCAAAGTCCCAATGAATGAATATGCATAGAGCTGAATAATCCTTTTGCTATGCCTATTTATTCACAAAATATCTTATTTATCTCGTGCATATTTCTTTTCTTATGTTGCAGTTTGTAATTACAAAGGATCATGGATTTCATAACTGTTAACTCATTTAAGTCTGCAATGCATCTTGGTTATTCCAAATGGTTAAGCAGATTGTGTCTAGAATTGAGAATGAGGGAAGCGATTTGAGGTTTAAATTTGATCTTTTACTTGCGATTTAATTTATGGTGCATATTCCAAGAGATGCTTGAGAATCAGCTTTAGTGCTAAATTTCGTCACTCATGTAATTTGTGATGCATATTCCAAGCTGATCTAGTCAAATTAATCAGAGTAGACCTCAAACTTCAGGAAATCCTGCAACCTTACTGTTTGGCATGCTTGCATTTATGGCAATTTAATTTGACTGGATTACCTTGGAATGTGCGCATTAAATTGCATAAGGTTAAGCATATACTAGTCGCGTAGCAGTCAAATCAAAATAAATGAAAATAAATTAACTAGTTTCGTTGGATAAAACATATAACTCACTGAGGAGTTCGAACTTTTATTAAGTTTTTAACACTAAAGCTGGTTATTATCTTGGTGCTTATGCTTAATCTGTTAATTTGTGAAAATCCATTGTGTATTTACCAATTTGTTATCACTCTGAAGTATCTTGCATGGAATTTTTGCAACCCAATGAAAAGGTTTTTGTTTTACATACTGTTTTGCAACTTAACTGGCATCTTTCTGCTTATTGGCGCTACATTGTTAGAATTATTTAGTTTCATACACTTCAACATTCTGTTTCAAGCATATGATTAACCACTTGTCAGTATTCTTATGACTTGAAGTCTCACTACTCAATTAGCAAGCCTTTGTTCTGATGGAAGTTATGCAGCTCAATTGGCATATTACTTGTGCTCATGGCTGACATTCTTTTGATGTAATCCATCTTTACGGTTGGCAATGTTCTATAAATGTCTGATCATTTTTGTATGCTAGGAAAAGAAAAAGGAACTGGCGTTTTCTGCTCGCTTGCCTTACCAGTATTAGGTATTTTACATTAATCCGTTTCAGTGGTAAGAATTGTTTCTGAAGTCAAGAATATAGCGATTGTCTGTCACCTGAGCTAATGGGGCTGCAACTACTTGTGGGGTAATAACCTGATTAGACAGCTGACATTGCACAGAAATGGTAGAAGCTGTAGTAGAGTACTTGTAAAAGATAGAGGGCCTTGATGAAGACATACTGCTCAAAGTAGGTCAGATTTCAATATTGAAAGATGCCCTGGGCAAACCCTTTGACCTGCTGGCAAGCCCAGATTCGGAGCATAAATACTTGGTGAATTGAGGGATAAACGGTGAATTTGTCAAGATTGTTTAGAACTGTTCATATTTGTACAAATGTTTTTGTTGGTTGGTTTTTTTACTTCTTTGGTTATTACTTCTTGAAAATGATGTTAAGTACTGAAAGGTTTGCAATCAACCGTGCAGTTCATAACGTTATGGCAATTTTTTTATTCTAGTTCATTTTCTCTACGACTTTTAGCATTATTTGAATTTTGGCAGCATAATCATCAATTTCAATATGCTCAAACCTCAGAAAGAGGAAAACAAAAAATGGAATGATGTGTATAAAAATCTATGATCCCTCTTCTACAAGGGAACAGAAAGAAAAGAGTGGATAGATTCCGAGGTGTATAAATGTATAACTTCACACCATCCAAGTTTTTTGCACTGATCATTCATCTTTAGCAGCTTGATGATCACTATCATCATTATTTCCCAGTTCTTGTGCCTATAAAAAACAAATGCTAAGTTAGCAAATGTATTGAATTATAAGTGTAACTTATCAAACTAATATATATAAAATTAAGTAATTAATCAAGGTTTTTTCTTACTTGGACAAAACTCATTGACGCTGCTGGTGTGCTATTGAACTTGAAGACATCAAATCATAGCCTTGGGTAAAGTTAGGGTCCAACGACTGCCCAAAAAATAAGAAATAGAAGACCACCCTTCATTATAAAAATAGCTATAAACTTGTAAAAGTATAATACTAGAAAAAACTGCAATAAACTTATAAGTAAGCATACTATTTACTTACTTGCAATAATTGTGTCATGTTTGTGGGATTTCGCCTATTGTAGATGTCTTCTATTGAAATTCCAAATTCCTAATATAATTAAAAAGAGACGACCACAAATTAAAAATTTCATTGAAAAAACATGTCGTTAATGTACTTTAGTCATCTAAAGAATAAATTATTCAAATAAAATTTAAAATAAATTACATATGTACTATGCTATACAAGACAAAAATGACGAATAACTATACCTGCTGTGGCGGTAATTCTCGAGCAAAACCTTGAATTGTAGCAGAATCCATACTTGAATTAACAACATTATGTCCAAATTCCTACAATCATTTTTATCCAAATTATAAATAAGGATCCTAATACTATTTCTATACTCATCATTCATCATACAACCAAGGAACCCAAAAAAAAGTAATAGTCAAACAATCAAATAGCATTGTTCACATAAATTAAATAAATTGTCAAACCTGTAATCTTTTCGATGAAAACTTCTCCTTCACCTTGTACTTGCGTTTCTTAGTAGCCATTTCTAGTGCACTTCTTGGTCTCTTGCTCGACTTGTAGGTGACTTTTTCTTTCACTTTGCTCGACTTGTATACCCTATAAGTCTGTATACATATTTTTTTACTATTGATATCAAATTACCGAATACAAATACATAATTTATTACCCCCTTTGGTGAAAAGCAACATGGT